TACCCACTTCTGTATAAAGCCAGAGTTGTATCTATTGAACATGGCAAATATATTAGAAAAAGGGAGCACTCAAAACTGGTATTATATATGGTAACAGTAGCAAAGATTTTATACACACAAAATGGAAATCTTCCCAAATTCCAACAATAGAAGATTGGCTAAAGAAATTAATAGATATGAGGGAACTAGATAGGCTCTCCAAGAGAATAAAAGAAAAAAGTAATATCAAGATGGAAGAGGATTGGGATTTAGTGGTAAATTATTGGAAACAAAAAATTGTAAACAAAGATTAAATACAGGAGATAAAATATAAAGCAGATTAATATGAGTAGAGAATAGAGAAAAAACGACTATGAAATACAGTAGTGATAATGGAGAAAAGAAAGTAAAATTTTGTGAGATATTTAGCCTCCTCTGTCAGATGTGACAAAAAACTACCAATGCCAGGATTCCACAGCATTGAGGCATGGCAGTTAAAGCGGTGTCAAACTGCGTTATTCCTGCAGTGCAGATGCATCCAACGGGAACAAGGGAAGCCAACACTTGTGTGTAAGTTTCACTGGAACAAATGGTCTACTCCAGAGGAGCTGATTGTCAGGTGCGTTCTACTCACCACAAACACAAGTTTTCCAACATTCGTCCAAGGGAAGTCATAAAGCAAGTGCCTTTCGCTGTTTACATTCTGAGAGGGAGAGTGGAAAAAAGGATAATTAATGGATTGAGAGGTTTTTTTTTATTTTTTTAAAGTTCTTTATTAACATTTCTTTGTGAAAAAACACAACAACCAAAACATTCATACATTCCAAACATCACAATAACATCTAAACTCAATCAACAAAACTTTCATTTCACTATAAAAAAAACCTTCCTAGTGTCTATATCCAAATAATTCTGCATATAACTCATTCGTCTTCCAATTTTCTCTGTACAGCAAACTCTCTAATTAGTCTTGACCCTTTGTTTTATATATATATATATATATCTGGTTCAAAGCAAAAGGTGTTTCAAGGATGTAACTGGAGAATGTGGAGAAGACCTGGTCCTCTTGTCTGGTTAAAAAATGGCAGGCAAAACGTAAGGATAATGTTGAATATAAAGTTATATATATATATATATAACTTTATATTCAAATATACTATTTTCCATTTTCTTCTCTCAGTTTTCCTTATCCTTCAAAAATATATGTCGGATTCGGCTCACCTATCAACTTGAAATATTAATTTGAATCATTTCTGTTACTAATGCCCAATTTATCAATTGACTTATTTCTAAGCAAATATTGGGATTGTGAGTTTTTCAAAGCAAACATGTCAACTGAATACTGAATTCAACAGTATTTCTCACATACAAGTTCCTGCACAGTGGGAAGATGTACATCACAGATTATATATATTTTATTTTTATACCAGTATATAAAAATATATATACACACACACATACACACACACGCACCCCAAATCCCCTATATATATTTGGGGATTTGGGGTGTGTGTGTGTGTGTGTGTACACACACACACACCCCAATCTTAGAATTTAAATCTTCTTGGACTAAAATTCCCAGATTTCTTGAGCGAGTATTGGGAGATTCGGGAGGTTGTAGTCCAACAAAGGAACTTTTTCAGGCTCTGCTCCCGATGAGACTTTTTCTAGGGTTTCTGCATTGACTCTGTGCTTACACTGTATATGGGATTGGAGGGAGAGAAACTGTGGTGAGCCCAGGGTCCATGACTCTGGAGACCAGGATTCGAATCCCAGCTCAGCCATTGGAACTCATAGGGTGACCCTGGAGAAATCACACTCTCACAGCCTCAGAGAATGGCAATGGCAAACTGCTCCTGAAGAAATTTGGGATTGCAAAATCCCAAATACTCCAAAAACCAAAACTGTCCATGTGGGTGGCTGAGAGAGTGAAACTTTTGCTTTCTGATGAGTCAGTATACACAAATTTTGTTTCATGCACAAAATTTATTTTTAAATATTATGTACAAAACTACCTTCAGACTATGTATGTAAGTTTTATACAGAACACAAATGAATGTCATGTTTAGGGTTGGGTTCCACCTCCAAAGTATCTCACTATCTAAATGCAAATATTCCAAAATCCAAAACACTCCTGGTCCCAAGCATTTTGGACAAGGGAGACTCAATATGTACCTTGTCATAAGGTGTCTTGGATTCTGTGCCAGAAAAAATGTGGGATAATAAATAAAATATGGAAACGAGAGAGAGAGAGATGGTTTGACACTTATGTAAAATAAAGGGATACGTACTTGAAAGATCTGGATCCCCCGTGTAGTCAGCCCAAGTGTCAAGGAGGCCTCAATTTCTTTCTTGTCCTAAATAAAAGGAAACACAAGGAATTATTTTCACATCTTCTAAAACACATGCTGCATCCTCCCCATGCCAAATGAGGAGTCTCCATTTGCAGCGGCTGATGGGGAAAAGGAATGGAAGACAAAGAGATTTTGCTTCCTCCTAGGCTCGACTTGAGCATTGGGATATGAATCTGGAGTTCAGGGTTCGAATCACACCCATACATGCACACACACAAGATAGCGAGCCAGCATGGTGCAGTGGTTTAGCATTGGACATAACTCTGGAGACCAGGGTCTGATTCCTTGCTCAACCATAGGAACCCAAAGGGTGACCTTGGGCAAGTCATATACTCACAGCCTCAGGGGAAGGCAATGGCAAACCCCTTCTGAAGAAACTTGCCAAGGAAACCCCATTATATGGGGCCTTAGGGTTGCTATAAGTCAAAAATGACTCCGAGGCATACAGCAACAACAAACATATGCACATACAAAAAACTGATATACCCTAAAATTAATACAAAACTGTTCATACCAACATATAACTATCACATCTAGAGGTAGTCGTGTTGGCCATATAGCAAATCTAGTAACATCCAAACAATGATACCTTTACTGGGCCAACCAAAATGCACAATTACATGTTGCAAAATGCGGTATCTTGAAATCCAAAAAACATCTAGGGGTAGCTGTGTTGACCATATAGCAAATCCAATAACATCCAATTTCAAGATACTGCATTTTAGCCATCACAGGGAAATCCTAAATAGAGAGTCAGTGCACTGGAACCTTGCTACTTGAGGCTTCTGCCTCCAACAAATGTAAAGCAATTTTTTTCTAATATTGGGACTGGTTGGCATGCTTTAGCCCTACATCACCTAAAGTTTTCCTGATGCAAAACATGAAGACTTCTTTAGAAATTCAGCGTTCTCTACCTGCATAGGAGCCTGAGGCTTCACAAAGGAAGGAGATATGCTAGATTCCAAGGAAACATCTTCTTTGGAATTGCAAATGGACATTAAATTTCTTTGGCTTGCACAACTGTCCAGTGACCACATGGCCAAAGGGTGTGCGTGTGTGTGCCAGACTACAGATAATCCTCCCCTAACATCTGAACTGAGATCAGAAACAGAAAATGCAGGTGCAAGGCTAACATCTTCAATTTTTTTTCTCCTGTTTGCCTGATGAAGAAGCCAGTGTGACTTCGAAAGCCTGCGACATGTAATTGTGCATTTTGGTTGGACCCATAAAGGTATCATTGTTTGGATGTTACTGGATATAACTATCACATTAATTATCCCAATAACCCATATGTTAACATTCCCTCTCCTATAACCCTACCTCTAACTCCCCTGAGGAATAAAGATATAATTTATTCAGAATCCCTTTCCTTTGGAATAAATAATTTAAAATAAGTTTTTAGTCAAACTTTGCTTTAACTTTTTAGTCAAACTTTGCTTTGGCTCCCCAGGCTGGAAGGAAGATGGGATTTAAACACTCAATTAAAAAAAATATTAATAAATAAGTAAGTTGAAAGTCCACTTAAAACACTACAAGGAGGCCTTGCAACTGGATTAAAAGGTGAATTGTCACACCTTGAGGCTTCCAAGCACAGCAATTCACCTTCTCTGTTTGGCCACAAAAATGTTATTTTGGGGATTCTGGAGGACTCAGGAGCCAGGAAAATGTTCTTGGAGTTGCGCATGTGGTCCCAGGAATACTCTTGACCCACAACTGCAGCGATAACCCAGTCTGACACCACTTTCACTGCCATGGCTCAATACTATGGAATTCTGGGGGTTGCAGTTTTATGAAATATTTAGCCTTCTTTTTCAGACAGCTCTGGTGCCACAACAAACTACAAGTCACAGAATCCCATAGCATTAAGCCATGGCAGTTAAAGTGGTGTCAAACCGGATTATTTCTGCTGTGCAGATGCAGCCACTCTTGTACTAGACACTCCCTTGTCAAGGAAGACAAGGTTTGGTGTTGGAGTAGTTCATAAGTGTTTGACTTGAGCTCTCAGGACATATTTGACTAAAGTGTGAGGCTTGGAAACTGTTGTGAGGCTTAAAAATGTCACTTTTTGGACTGCAACTCCCAGAATCCCCCAGCCAGAATTGCTGGGATACTTGTGTCTTTCCAAGAAGCCAAGCCTCTCTACGGCAAAAGCTGGCTGGGGGATTCTGGCAGATGTAGTCCCTAGAAAAGGGAGCAATATTTCTGAATTTTGGATACTGGGATGCCAAGTCCCAAAGTAGCAGAAGCATCCCTTGCTGATCCTTGTCTTCAAATGCACTTCTTGGTTGACTGGCACTGAGCCCAACTCCCTGAAGAATAAATTTCTCCCTTTTGTTTTGCAGAAAAGCTTTAAAGGTGTGAAAGCCAAGTGCTGGATTTCTGCTAGCTGCCTCCATCGGATGGATGCTGTGCCAGGTAGAATCACAACCTTCCCGAAACTCAGCCGCTGGACGACATCCACACAATCACAACCACACACAAACATACACCACCACTTTATCCTGCAAAGGGCCATTAAAAGCGTTGCAGCTACTCGACACCCAGCATTCAAAAGCACCACTGGGGCTGCATCCGCACTACAGAATCAACGCAGTTTGACACTACTTTAGCTGCCATGGCTCCATGCTATGGAAATCTGAGATTTGTAGGTTTGTGAGACATTTAGGAGCCAACGTGGTGTAGTGGTTTGAGTGCTGCACTATGGCTCTGGAGACCAGGGTTCAGTTCCCTGCTTGGCCATGGAAACCCACTTGGTGGCCTTGAGCAAGTCACATGCTCTCAGCCTCAGAGGAAAACAATGGCAAAACACCTAGGAACAAATCTTGCCAATAAAACCCCATGACAGGTTCGCCTTTGGAAATGACTTGAAGGCACACAACAACAACAACGAGATACTTGGCTTTCTCTGTCAGAGAGCTGTGGTACCACAACAAACCACAAATCCCAGGATCCCAAAGGATGGAGCCATGGCAGTTAAAACGGTGTGAAACTGCATTAATTTCATCGGCAAGCAAAAACGGTTTTATTCAGGCAGGCTTTTCGTACATAAGCCATGGAATGAATCGCTTTTATATGGCGTGTCTGTTATATTGGGTGTGTACTGTAGTTTTTAAGGTTTGCAATTTTATACTGATTGTATTTGATGCTTTTATTTTATTTTTCTATTGTAAAGTCTTTTAAAAATGTTTTAATTTGTGAGCCACCTTAGGTCCCTTTCTGGGAGAAAGGCAGCATAAAAAAAGGAAATTAATAAATAACCCTGCAGCATGGCAGCAGCCTAAAATTCCCTCTGAGGATGATGGAGAAGATGTATGGGATGGAAAGGTGAGAGATAACAATCGGGCAACATCTTACACTGCTGTCTTCCTGGAAACCAAATTATAGCTTTTCCATAAAGAGACCATGGCCTCTTGTAAAGACACACTCACTCCCGCTACCTCTGTACCTGTTGTTTCTTTCTGGACACAATTTTTAAGTCCTGGTTATGATTTACAAACCCTATTTCAGGTCCAGCGTAACTAAAAGTCCCTATTAGGGTTGCAACCTCCACTTTTCATGGCTCCTTTCCAGCTAGGAAACAAGGATGCAAATTCTCCAGTTTTGGGAGGCTCAGCTCCAGGCAAGAAGAAAAGGCTGTGTGCAAATCCCCAGCTCAGCTAGGCGACTGTTTGCAAGGATTATTTGATACTATTTGATTATTCGCTGCAATCTGATTATTAATTATTGATTGTTAAGAGGGTGTCTGCATTTACAGTGGGTCCTTGGTATCCACTGGGGTTTGGTTCCAGGACCCCCTGTGGATATCAAAATCCATGGATGCTCAAGTCCCATTAAATGCAGTGGCATAGTAAAATGGTGTCCCTTATAAAAGTGGCAAAATCAAAGTTTGCTTTTGGGAATTTATATATTTTTGGAATATTTTTAAACCGTGGATGGCTGGATCCGTGGATAAAGAATCCGTGGATATTGTAAGGCCAACTGTACTTGGTTAGATTCATCTTTCCCTGTCGTGCTAGGATTCACCCTTTGCTTTGCATACACCTTCTACCTAGAAGGTAAAGACCTCTGTATTCCCAGGTTAACTGCTTGTGTAAAGTCTTTTTCATGGTGTATGTGCATGCTGTATTTTTGTCTTTAATGTTATGTTTTTAAACAATTTCACAGCTTTTAAAATTAAGATGCATTTTGTTATCTTTTGTTCAATTGTATTTTAATGTTTTTTATCACCAGGATCTTAGGTTTATCTTGTTTTAGCTGAGTTGTAAATCCCCTTGGGCCCCGTGTCAGGAGAAAGGTGGGACATAAAATACACACACACACATACCTTGTATAATCTGTAGTAATGCACAGCAACATCATCCAGACGCACAGCCTCCTTGATGTACTTCAGATGGGCTTCGGAGGCGGTCAGAGCGCATTGGTCTTTGTGCATGATGGGAATGTGTTTGAGGATGTAGTCTTTCCCTCTCTTTGCAACCACCTGTCCAGAGACAGAGAGAAGAAACACCTGAATTTGGTGGAAGGTCAGGGTGTTTTTTGGGGTTTTCTTTTTGGAGGGGAGGCAATTGTCACAAGGAATCTGCTAAGGACCACATGAATCCCATGATTTCCACCCATGATTTAAAGTGCTTTCTCCATCACTGGTCCAATACAGATGGAACCAATGCATCATGCCTACATGCAATCCACCAACGCCTGGAACAGCTGTTGTTATTACTAGTATTTTGCATTACAACTCATACAATTTTCTGCCATGTTTTTAAAAAGCCACGAATAGCACATATGGGAAAGAAGATCCATGGAAAGTTGCTGTTGGTTAGGGTTAGGGTTAGGTTTCTGGGCAAGAAAAATAATCACAATCCTGCACTGTACATAGCAGCTTCTTATATTTAATTCTGGCATTTTTACATAAAATATCTTGGCTTTGTTGGTTGTGAGTGTGCTAAGGGCACTGAAACCAACCTTATTCACTTACTGGCCCCTGAACTCAGTGGGACCCTATATATTTCCATCACCAGCCTGCTCAATTCGCTAGAATCCCTTGGCTTCTGAAATTACTAAGGAATGGGAGATGTAGTCTCTCCTAGCAACTCATAATAATTCTGTTCCCATTATTGCTGTTTTTTCTTGCTAGTAAAACACCGGATGTGGCTCTCAAGGCTAAAAAGATTGCAGATGCTAACTAGCATGCCATATCCTGACAGCCATAAAGACTGGAAAGTTTGCATTTTTAAACTACTGCATGGTTTTAAAGCTTTATTCTGTGTATCACTCACAGAGCTTTGGCTGTATGGTTGTACAGAAACACAACAACAACAATTTGTGTGCCTTCAAGTCATTTCCAATATATGGTGAACCTGTCATGCAGTTTTCTTGTCAGGATTTGTTCACAGTAAGTTTGCCTTTGTCTTCCTCTGAGGCTGAGAGAATGTGACTTGCCCAAGGCCACCAAGTGGGTTTACATGGCTAAGGAGTGACTTCTGGTCTCCAGAATCATAATCCAATGCTCATACCACTATACCATACTGGCTCTCTCTGATGATGATGACCATCATCATCATCATCATCATCATCATCATCATGTGCAATAATAATGTACAAATAACAATTATGAATAAGTGTTAGTAATTACCGTATTAAGATGTAATTGTAATCAACAAATTTATTATCGACAACCATTATAAATACATTATTAATAATTAGGACTATTAATAATTAATCATAATGTTCCTTGCCAGCCAAAACATTTTACTTCAAGAAAGCTTTATTTGTAAATAGTCCTAGACAGACAGCTCAGAACTGCTTAGTATTAAACAGGCATTTTATTGTCCATGGCTTTAAATTTCTGTTTTGCTGTTTATTGCTTTGGGCATTATTTTATTTTATTTTATTTTAATGAGAGCAAAGAATAAACTTTACAACTAAACAGACATTACAATTCTCCAATCATTTTAATTTCTGAGAAGCAAGTTATGCATGGATACACACAATCAGCTCCTCTTAGATGTAGAA